CCGCCCTTTGGGGAAATGTGAGACCCACCAAACTGAGAGCCGGGTCTAGGGCTGGAACTCAGCACGTTCCTGGCTTGTCCGGGATCTGTGGGCTGAGCTCAGCTGGAAAGGATTTTGTCGACAGTTCCTTTCTCTGGATCAGTAATAATCCAAATTTCAAGCCTAGAGCCAGAGGTGCCCTCCAAAGGTTCCCTCGCCCCCTGGGCTCTAGCTTTTTGCTCTGGCCCCAGTGGCATCACTTAGGGACAATACAGAAGTGTCTAGACTTCCACACCTTTCCTAGACCTACAGTGGGGCAGTTCTGACTCTCACCACTTCCCCTCCCCCATGCCTGATTCCACTCGAAGCCCGTCCCCTTCTGACCACAGCTGGGCAGGGCCACATATAAAGGGTGTGCCGGCCAGACAGCAGGCGTCCCCCCTGGCTGGCTTTGGAGCCCTGAGGCTAAAGGTGCCCACGAGCTTTGGGTCCAGCACCTGCGGGTGAAGGTCTAAGCCTATAGCACTCATCTTTGTTAAAGTCTCCAGGGTGAGATTCGTGGGCTTTCCTAGGTCAGCCATCAAGGTGTTTTATCGATGGACAGGAAGTTCCTCCTTTTATCCAACGTAAAATGCCTCCAACTTACATTCAAGTGCATTTCCTCTTGCCGTCCTCGCTGAGATTTAGTGCCCTTGCTTTCCTGCCCGCCACTCCCAGGAGTCCTTTCTTCAGGTCCAAGATGATTAAATGCTCCACGTGGATAAATTGGATCCTTTTGTAAATCACCTCCTGATTTGTATGACGAATGAATTGCATTCCCCTATATCAGATTTTCTAAATCTGCATATGCTACCTGCCTCGTTGAGCTCTGCATACACAGCTATTTCAGAAATAGGTGTATTTGTTCTAAACTTGACAAGTTACAGAGCACTTTCTCGTTTTCATTCTCTCAGCAGCCCCGTGAGTCAGATAGAATAAGGAAGGCGTCACTCGAACTTTGCAGATGAGGACTTTGGCTTGTGCGGGGCTTAGGCCAAGGCACACAAATATAAGGGCTGGGCTGGGGGTCACACTCAGGTCTTCTGACTCCAAGTCCAGTGCTCCTTTCTCTACACCAGAGCTGCCTCTCTGAGGGTACCGCCTGGACTGGGAGAGCCCAGAGGATGCTGGGGGTGGGGGTGGGGTGAGGGGTAACGAGGAACCTGCCCAGGATTGAACCGCTGCTGTGGACACTGCCCGGAGCTGCTGCTGAAGAGGTGAGCCTGCTCACACGGCGAGCCCCCCGACTGCCAGCCTGGAGCAGGGCTTGTCCCAAGCCACCGAACGCTCATAGCTCCTGCTGCAAACCCGCCAAGGTGGTTGCAAGACATCGTCCTCTTCTGGGACAGGAGTCATAATATCCAATTTATAAATCTCAGCTCTGTTTATTTATTCAACAATATTTACTCCTTCCCGCCACACACACCCCTCCTTGCTGAGCAGCAGACAAGGTGCCCTTGCCTGTCAAGAGCAAAGTCCCCTCTCCTCTTCCTGAGCCGAGCCTGGTTATGTGGGATCATTTCTGGCCCCTCAAAATGAGTCCCAGTGCCTGGGGAAAGGCACCCTCCATTTGAGACAGATAATTGAGAATTGGCTAGAGAGTGACTTCTACAGAAAGCACCCTCGGGTCGGGGACTTGGCTGCATACTCTCCCTGCGACAACCGCTCCCACCCCGCCTCTGCTCTCCTGGTCACAGCTCAGAGGGAGAGAGAGTTCTCAAATGACCCCCTTCACTGCGTATGCGTAGCCAGCCAGCGCTCAGTATGTGGAGTTACGCTGACTTTGCAAAAGAAGAAAATTACTTTGTCCCTAATGCCTTCCCACTGTCAGACAGCAGGAACGGCTTCTGACAAGTTTGTGTCCCAAGTGGCAGTTCCTGTTCTTTCCTAAGCAGCCAGAGCACTGCTTTTTATGAGTGTCCCCACAGATGCGTGGGTTTCCAGATGGCTTGTTCTCAGACTTTAACTTGCTTTCTGGAGCCTGGGTCTTCTGCCCGTGGAGAGAAATAGGAAAAGTGTTCACTGTGGAGCACAGAGGCACCTCTCTTCTGTGCCCCCAGCCCTGGAAGGTGCAGGTCCCACTGCCCTTAGAAGCCTAGGGAATGGGGACGGGCCCAGAACTGGGTGCTTATTGCCTGCCAGCTTCACCCTCTAGTGGGGACCCAGCAGCCCAGTCTTTTGCCTCTGGCTGGGGGATATTTGCAAGGTGACCTTGAGCTGGGGCTCAGGCGTTGTGACAAGCAAGTGCATAATAAAATGGGATGTGGGGTTTTAAAGTTGCATTCTAATACAGTCACGGTGACTTTAGTGGCATTTGATGGAAGATGACTGAGCAGGGAGGGGTGATACAGGCCTCAGATGAGCCGCTTATTGTGAAATTCGCTTCGGGCCCACTCTTGGGCTACAGGCCTCCCTGCACACAGGAGTGGGAGAGGTTGCCAGGGGTGGGTGTGATACCAGCAGCCCTCTTGTCTTCTAAGCCTGCGGAGGGGAGCACTCCTGGACAGCATCTTTCCACGGACGTGCTACATCCTGTCCCCAAGGCTGCTTCTGCCGGCTAGATTAGCCTCTAGGAGGCTCTCCCTGCTGGAAGAAGCCAAGACCTAAACCTGCCTTCTCCCCAGCCCTAGACAGGGCGCCTGCCTAACACCTTCCTGGGTCCACATCCAGCCAGACAAGAAAGAAGCCCAAAAAATCTCTCTCTCTGTCTTCCACTGTCCCTCCTCATCCCCACCCCACCCTGTCACCCTAAAACAGAACCTGCCACTTAGTGCATTTGTATAGGGAGGGGTGTCAGCTGCCTAGGAAAACCAGGAGTCCACTGTCTGAGCATCTTCCATTTTCCTGAGCCCAGAAGAAAAAAGTGTGTTAGACCAAGATAATACCGCCTTTGGAATGTCTCGGCTTGATATTTGCCTCCATGAATGAGGGGGGCCAAATGTTATCTGCCAGTTTAATCTTCTATATTCAAAACCCCCATCCCCTTTGTCTGCCAGAGCATTCCCAAATAAGCCATTCGCTCCCTCTAAACCTCTGTAATTTTTTTTCTTTTTCTCTTTAACCTGCTCTTTCCATCCTGGGCCAGTTTATTCATTTCTCAGCTGCATCTCCAAAAGGGCTCACCTTCCGGCTTCCTGCCCCAAGGGCATCCGGAGGCGGCGGTGGTTCCCTTTTCTCTGCTGAGTCAGACCTGGCTTGGTTTGGTCTCCTTTTGTATCTTGGTGTCCCCTTCTCAGTCTCCTACCAGCCTGGCTTGAGTGTGTCATCAGTCTCTTCTCATCCCTGTGACAAGTGGGCGAAAATCCATCCACTTGTGGCTCTTCCAGCCCCACCAGGAGGGAGGGCCTCGAACCACAGGACCCCAGGCAAGGCCAAGGCCAAGAGTGACTGTCCGCTCTGCACTCTGCATGGATGTTCTTTCCCTCTGCAGTTGAAGGCGGCTGGTCCCAGGGCAGAGGGGGGGGGGAGGGCAGGAGGGAGCAGTGGTTGGTGCGCAGAGCAGCCCCTCGGAGCTGGAGATGTGGAAGTGTGCGGTGCTCAGCCTGTCTGTAGCCCCAAAGTGGCTGATCCTAGATTCACCTCGATATTTAAAAATCAATGAGAACTTACTTTTACAATTAAAAAAGATTTCTTTTTTCCATTTTGGAAAAGAAACTACAATTTAAGCTACTAAGGAGAAATAAAGGTGAGAAAAACTTAATCTGGTTGACAGGCCGTGTCCCTCGTTAGGGTGGGAACGATGGGATGTGGGGGAGGGAGGGGAGAGAGACCTGAGGCAGTGGCACCTTCGGCTGCCCCCCACCCCCGTCTGCAGCCCCACCGCTCTCTGGATTCGTGGGCAGGAGGTCCCCTCTCTCTGTAGCACAGGTGCATTCGAACTCTCTTCTCCCAGTCTGGAGTTTATACCTGCGGGTGACAACAGAAAGCAGGCATTTCGGTCAGATGTGTGATTTAGCTATAAATTGGTTCAGTCGGTATGCTCTGCATTCATACTTCTTTGTCTTTTTTTTTTTAAACAAAAGGAAAAAAAGTTTAAATCCCCCCTTTCCTTCTCCTGCAGGAGGTGAGTGTGTGGGTGTCCTGTAGAACCATTGGCTTCCGCCCCAGCTTTGGCCCCAGCCTCCAGGTTTACCATCGCCACCCATCCCCTCCGTCCATCCCCTGCTCTCCACCCCAAAAGGGAACCCTCTGCCGCCATCATTACTGTTACGTTAAGATGCCCAAACTTTCCATGACATATCCCATCCTCCGACCACGAGCACGTTCAGTATTGACGACTTTCATGCAGGGATCTAAACGGGAGGGGAGGGGAGGGAGGGACTAGCCAGTGGGGAGGGGGGAGTGATTTGGGAGGGAGGGGGTGGAGAATGGAGATCTTTTTTAAAAAACAAAAACCAAAAAAACAAATTTGTCATTGAATGGATCCAAAAAGAAAAAGGGAAGCACACACACATACACACACAGCAAAAAGTCAAAAATCCCCTCCGCAAAGATTTTTTTTTTCCATGGACACAAATTGCTTTGTTTCCTGTCACGTTTTAATATCAATATTAACACAATGTGTAGTCTAAAACTAGTTCCTTTGTAGTTTGCATGGGATGTGAATGCTGTCTCAACGTGCCCAGACCTAGAAGACTGCATGAGCATCAATTCAGATGTGAAAAAAAAATCTCTCTCTTTCTCTCTCTCTTCCATATATATCTCTATTTCTATTGTGATAATTTGGTGGGCAGTGAAGCACCTCCGGTTGGTTGCCGTAGTGTGTTGAATGATTGTTTTTTTATTCTCTCTATTTTTGGAGCTCCAAGCTTCTTAGTAGTAGCCTGGGCTGAGTATTCTTGAGTCCCTGCTGATGTTTTCGCATGGCCTTGGTTGAGTGTTAGAAGTTGGGCCTAAGCTGTTTTTCTCGAGTGTTTGGCTTGTAATGACCGGTGCATGCCTGGCTTCTGGCCTCATACCCAGCTCTATTCTCTGCACACCAGTCCTGAATAGCTACAGTGCTCAACCGAATTTTGGCGCGCCCGCTTCCCCGGCAGGCTCCAACCCGGCGCGGCCCGGAGGCTTCCCGGGGGCCAACAGCCCAGGACCTGTCGCCGATCTCTATGGCCCTGCCAGCCAGGACTCCGGAGTGGGGAATTACATAAGTGCGGCCAGCCCACAGCCGGGCTCGGGCTTCGGCCATGGCATAGCTGTAAGTACCTGCCTTCCCCTGCCCTCCTACCTCCTCGTTCCTGACCAACTCCTGTGGCCCGTGGGTGTGCGGGAGAGCCCAGAGTTGGGGGCAGAGGAGAGGACAGTGGGTCCCCATCGCAGCATCACACCAGCCACCAAGGGCTGAAACCCGTCCGTCTAGATGTGCCCCGAGTGCCTCCCACGTGAGCAGGTCAGCTTCAAATCACCGCTCTGTCACCTTCGGCCCATGCAGCCTTGAGCCACTTGCATAACCCATCTGCAGCCCAGCCCTCATTCCCCGGCTGCAAAGCAGAATAAGTATGTCTTCCTCAAAAGACTGCGGGAGAATTAATGGAAATAGTAGATGCCACATGCCGGCACATAGTGGGTCCTCGGTAGCAGCCTCCTTCCTTGATCCCTGGAGACTGGAGACTGTCGTATGGGCTGGGACCTCAGAGCTGGGAAGCACTCTCCTCTAGATCCCCCACTGAGCCCCCAGCCTAAGGTCCAGCGGCAGCGCTGGTGCCTGGGAGGTGGTGTGGCTGAAAGCCCTCTCCCGGGCTTTCCTTTGCTAACGTGTCTTCCAGTTTCCAGGTTCCAAGTAAGTCCCCATCTGCGTCCTTTAGCTGCAGCCCCCTGAAGGCCAGATGCATTTGATATTTGTAATGCTCTGTGGTTCTATAATCTGACTAATCCAGGCAATGGAAATTTGCTTAACAGATTTGCATGCTGTTTTCAGATTGTATTGTTCTTCTCCCTCCCAGTGTGTGTGAGCATGAATGTGCCTGAGCCCACTCGCTCGCTGTCCCTTCCATTTTGGAAACAGAAAATTGCCCAACCTCTGCCCTAGCCCACCTCAGTATTTTGGAGGCAGTTTGGTTTTGAGCGAAGATGAGAGTATCTGCTGTCCCAGGTCACGTTCCTGCCAGACCAGCTTCTGGGAGAGAGCGGGGGAGCCCTGCCTTGAGGGCCAGGCTTCGGAGAACAAAATAAGTGCAGACAGTCGGGGGCCCCAGGGTGGCCTCGCTTGTGCCCGCTGGCGTTGGGAGCCGGTCCACACAGCCTCTCCTACACACACACACACACAACACACACACACACACACACACACGGCTGCCAGCCTGGCCTGTGCAATCCGGGTCCTTGTTCAATTCCACTCCCAAGCCAGTATCACTTAAGTCAGTCCTTTGATGAGTCTAATCCCTTTGGACCAACTGTAGCACCAAATCTAGAATATTATTATTCACCTGAGAGCCGCATCAATTTGGGGGACCATCTATCACCACTTGGAACACAACTCATTTCCATTTTCAGCGTCCAGAAACACAGACCTTATTTGTTCTTGAAAACCTGGGTCTTTGACCTGTGTGCTGTGATGCTTTTCTGCAATAATCGCAGAGCATCACACCGGACTGTCTGCACCGGGCTTTCTTCTCCCCAGCCGGCGCTGTTGAGACTGTGGACAGAGACTCTTATCTTTGCCCTCTGGGGTTCAGGGCCACGATGCCCATCATTTGGGGCATGAGTCCCCCCTTGACCACCACCCAGCCACCCCTCTGAATCTGGCTCTTGGTTTCGCCTGGGCAAACAGACAGGCTTCAGGCGGGGCGGAGGGAGTGGGGGTCGGGGGTTCAGAGCTGGGGAGGGTGCCATCCTGGCCCCTCATGGCATGGTGTCTCAGAATTACATATTCATGCTGGCAACCACAGACTAGTCCTAGAGATAATTTCCTTTCCCAGAAAATGACAATCTGTTCCCATGTATAGCGCACTGATGACCTTAACAATTGTGCAATTTTAGGGACCTTTGATTGCAACGGCCTTTACAAATGGATACCATTGAGCAGGTGCTTTCGTTGCCATCTCACTCTGAGGTATTACCGTCTCTGCCATGTGTCTCCGCCCTGCCGGCGTGTCCGTACGTGTATGTGCACTGGGTCATACATGTACGCACATGCCCGTGTCTCATCACATCAACATCTCTCTCTCTCCTCTTTCTGGACCCCTTTTTGGGGGGGAGGTGGGGGCGAAAACAAATCCAGTCTTTTCATCTCTCATCCCTTCCTCCAGCTTTTAATTATGACCCCTACCTTTTTGACTGTTTCTCTCTCTCTCTCTTTTTTTTTTCCTTGATTTGGTTCTTTCCACCCCTTTTCTATATCTTCCCCACGCCTCATCTTTCTCTGTCTTGACATACAATCACGAGTGTGGGAAACTGGAAGGTGATCTGGTGCTGTGCCCGACCCAGGGGGATGGGGACAGGGAAGCACTGGGGCCAGGCCTGGGGCGAGGGGGTGGGCGCCAGGCCGCTGGCCTTGCCATGTGACCGTTGGGTTGCTGGGCCCCTTCAGCTCCCTGGGGCTCGCTGGGGTTCAGCCAATGGGGTTTGTGCAGTCAAACAGCCAGACTCCATCTTTTAGTGAAAAGAAAACATTTTTTTGCCAGTAACTACTGAGTAATTATCCAGATTACCGCATGAAAAGCAAATTAAATTAACGACATCACCTGCGTAACGTGGATTTGGATCCCTGCCAGTTTCCTAACCTTTTAAACTGAGCTCAAGTTAATTAAACATTTTTTAAATCACTTTGATGGGGATATGGAGGGGGTGAAACAGAAGAGAGGGGAGGTTGGGGCAGTAGGAAGCCTCTTGCCACGTTCTCCTTTGCAAATGAGTATCCGTCATTCTTGGGAAGGACACCGAGAAGGGAGGAAGCACTAGCTGTATCCCATGTCAGCATGTCAGTTTGTAGGGTTGGAACATGGGTCTCTGTCTTTGGAAAAGGGAGGGTGACCACTGAGGCCAGTGGATGGGTCCCACTCAGCAAATCCCAAAGGGGCACAAAAGCCTTTCTCTCTTGGAGTTGGGTCGCAGGAGGAGCAAGGCTAGAGGTGAACTGGCCACTTAGGGTGTGCAGTTGGCAGGATGCCTCTCCCGTAGAGGGGGATTGCTCCTGGCCCCTGAGTCATCAGTCAGGACTCTGCAGGTTGAGACCAGTGGGAGAACCAAGCTGAGTTGAGCTCCCTAAATCTCTTGGATTTCTCTAATGTTGCTGCTTAGGAATCACCTCAACTAACGCAACTGCCTCTCTTAACCAAATAAACTCCTGTGTGTGAATTCTCCCACCCCTCGCCTCCACTTCCCCTTGAGCACTGACCCAGCCGTTGCTGGCCAGAGCCAGAGGCCACTAACAGTGTGAAGGACAGCTGCTCGCTACTAATTGAGCTGGGTTTGGGGGCCCCAAGGAAGTAGGGTTTCTCTGAGGGGGACCAATTTACCCAAGAACTTTGAGGGTTGAAGGTGGCTCCAGCCCTCTGGGGAGTCAGATGAAGACGGGGTTAAACAACTACGAGGCACAGCAGATCCTTGGAAGGCCAGACTCTGGGGCCACCGGTGCCCCTGGAGACAGAGGAGTGGCATAGGGCTTCCTGCCCGCAGCTCTGCGCCCTCCCCGGCTGCTGCAGCCTTCCCCTAGGGGCAGGGGAGGAGGCTGCTCCAGCCCGTCCTCCCTCATCCAACCTCGGGACTCAGTTTCCAGAGAAGGATGAAGTAGCCAAGAGAGTGGAGGTAGCAACCCATCCCCTTCCAAAATGGATTGAGTTAATAGAGTCACGTGGCTGCACCGCAGCAGTTTAGAAGCGCTGATCAAACGTCCCCAACAGAGGTGACCCTCTGACATTTGGTGCCATCCCCAAAAGAGGAGCCCAGGCCCCTGGTCAATTCAGGGAGACTCAGTTAGCAAGTCTGTGAATCCTGGGCCTGTTTTTGTTTCCTATAACCAAAGCTGGTTATTTGTTGCATAGTTTGTTAAGTATTCTGACCTCCAGTTTTTAGGTATATAATATAATTTTTCATTACAGATTTGCATTTTCAGCTATTAACAATCATGGACAGGTATCTAATAAAGGCCAAAGCTTTTTAAAAAACATTTAGCTTTGAAAACAGAAGTTCCAACAGAAAAAAAGTCTCTCTGGTCAAGGTGCAATTTGCCAATCAAGCCAAAAACACAGCATGACCACATTTGCTGACCACATTTCCTACCATTACCTCAAGAATCCCACAGCGTTATATCAAATCAGCAAAGTGAGTTACAGAGCTCCCCTCTTCCCAGCGTCAGGTGTGGCTTAGCTGTCAGGTTTTGCAAGCTGAGATCTCAGCAGGCAGTTAGCCAGGCCATTTTCACACATATGCAGTAGCCCGATGAAGTCCTTCTTTGAAAGCTCTAGTTAAAACATTGGACTAGATCGTATACTTGCCTGACACTTCTTCTTTCTCCTCCCACCCCCACTTTATGTTTTCTTCTGGGGATACCTGACCCCGCCTGCCCTGCAGAGCATACCTGGATGTCCAGGCAAGACTGGGCGAAGTTTCTGAGTGGCCCTTTGTTTAGGTGATGTCCTCAGACCTGGACCCCCACCAGCCTCACTCCCCATCCCAACCAGAGATGGCTCACTTCGGATCGAGGGTTGGCTACATCTCATCATCTCACAAATCTGCTGTAATATAAGACAACAGCTTTTAAATGTGTATATAACCCATGATTTTGGTTTGGTTTTGTTTTGTTTTTCTTGATGGTTTCCCATCCCCTCCTCTCTTCCCCTTCTCCTTTGAAATCTCTTTGAATCACATTTAGTAGTGATTTTGACTTAGTCCAGTAGTCACATAGCTTTAATATCTAGTTCAAAGCTAACCATAGTATAATTGTTATATTAAGGAGTTATTTTTTTCTTAAAAAAAAATTTTTTTTTGCTTGTTTTGATTCTGTTCTTACTTTTAAAGGATGCTGAGATGGTAATATTACTCTCAATATTTTGGTACCAATTCTGAGACTGTATGAATTTTCAGGTGGAACTTTAGCACACACTGAAGCGACATTGTGAAGTGCGGGCCGGGAGGCGGGCATACACTTTCTATTTTGCGTTGTAGAAGAAGTGAGATGTAGTAGGCTAATTAACAGACTCTCTAGCTGTTCTTTTTTGTGATGTCTCTTTGTTAACCTGAGTATATCTATTTTCGGCAATAAGGTAAGGACGACAGTGTTTTGAGTGTCCTCCTTTTCTATAAGTGCTTTTTTTCTGTTGAAAGAGGTGATATTATAAGGTTTTTTGAAATTGTGAATTCTAAAAAAAGAAATGTTGTAAATACAATTCCATTAACTACATAGAAAACTATTAAGAAAGAGAGAATCAAAAATATTTTTGTGAGGGAGTCGGTCCCGGGCAGTTTGATGCTCTGCGGAAGGAGGAGGGAAGGGAATACGTTGGCAAAGTCAGTGGCTAAGAGGAAGAACACCCAGCTGCCGGGACGACCCCAGGGCAAGCCAGAGCACGGTTTAGCTCCTTCGTCTGTGTGATAGACCTAAGAACTGTATTAGTGTCGTACCAGCCTAATAACCTCTCGTCTGTGCACAGCTTCAAATGTTACCGTCTAGTTAGATTTTTATTTAAAATATGAAAAACTGCTTTTCCCAAGACGTTTTTAAAAAAAAAAAAAAAACAAAGCTACAGTTTTAATATTTAACATATTTAAAGTTTCAAAGCACACCTGTTTGGCTTGGGTGGGGGGGATGGGGAGACATTCTTTTTCAGTCTTAATTTTTAAATATTTGATCATTTTCTATTGTCCGATCATTTCAGCACCTCCAAAGGTCCCTAGGACACTTTGCCTCTCTTCTCCCCCCGACCCCCCCCACCCTGCTCCCAGATCCGGGGGGCCCACGGGCCAGGAGTGGATGAGCCTGCATTAACACAACCCTTTCTCCATTCACTTTCTATTTACAAATTAGGAAAGGAACCTTTTGGTTTATATATTTTTTTTAATACCTCAGTGCTGCAAGTATCACCAGAGAGGCTATGGAAGAATTTTTTTTTTTAATTTATTGTAGATGTAAACAGAATTTTAAAAGTAAAAAGTATAAACATCACTGCACTGTGACTGGTGGGAAAAACTGACAATTTCCTGTTTGCACATGTTTAACATTTGGCTGTTATAATATATGGTCCTCGGTTGGGGAAAGATACTTATGATGAAGGATATTTTTTAATTTAACTTTTTTTTAAATATTGGTAATAGGTCGGCAACAGCAACTATAGAAGTACAACTCAATAGATGGCATTAAAACATATTGTAGTGTGGATATATATTTTTTTCTTTTTTAAAATGTGATATTGACGTTTTATTAATATTTTTTAAATTGTTACGTTTATAAATTTGGTACTTAAGGCACAGCCAGTATGAGACACTGAATGCGACATTTATTATAAAGAGCTGCTGCACTCCTATTTTTATAAATTTTACTAACAAAGTAGACTAATGTAGACATTCACAGACATGGTAGGGCAAAAGCATCTTCAAACTAAAGACTCCAAAATGCTAACTCGGAAAGAAAGAAAAAAAGCCTTTTCAATTCTAATTAAACAGTAACAACATTTTTTTAAATAATAATAATACAAAAAATCATGTTCTTTGTTTTTCCAATAAAATGTTAGGTTGTTTGGTGAGGTTTTTTATTTTTTTTTTTTCCTTTCTTTTTTTTAATTTCCAAACAACCAAGTTAAAGTACAATGCTGGGCGCTTTTAAAATATCAAAATTTGTTCAAATAATAAAATAACAAAATATAAGTTTTATTTAAAAGCAAAAACAAAGGAAAAAAAGAGACAGTAAATTCCCATAAATTCAGTGTCTAGACTAGGGAATTTAATTACTGTTTTGTCTATGTCGGTGATGTACTGTACTTCCCTTCCTTTTCTCTGCACCCTCATCACCTCTTAAAAGACTCTTTGTTGATCATTGTATGTTAATAATGTATAAAATGGCTATCTTGTAAGCGTGCTGTCCTGGTACTAGTGTAGTGACTTTTTTTCTCCTCTTTCTTCTAGTACATATTGATAGGTATAACATAATTAAGGTTTAAAAAATTAGACATAGTTATTCAGATTTAGGACCAGTAAGGATAGAACTTTCTCTTATTTATGAAAAAAAAAAACAAGCTAATAATTTTGGGGCAGTTTTTTCCTTTAATTTTTTTTTTTTAAATTTCAAGTTTAATTTTATTTTTGCTGATCTGATGTGGTTTCAACTAACCCAAGGTCTCACAATGTTCAAATGCCGGCAGACTCTATGGCGTTTTGTAGACCCCCATCCCCCCTCACTGTGAAGGGGTGTGCCATACTACCTTAAATGCTAATGCTAGATATGCAAAACTGGATTTTTTTAATTTATTTTTTAAAAGAGGGAGGCATGGTATATTAAAATGATTTTACTAAGAGAAAAAAAAATATTTTTTTAAGAATGCTCAGAAGAAATTGATAATCTGTGTGAATATGTTTTAGATGTTTATATACCTTTTGAAGAGACCCAGTAGCCCATAGCACAAATCTCGTGGAAATCCGATATGTTTAAATGTGGCTACCTAGGTTAAGGTTCACGTTAGTCCCCCCCATCCATCTAGAAGTCCATTTTGAAAGATTTTTGTAAATTTCTTTTAGCACTGATGTTCAGCCTTGTCTTTGTTTCAGTTAAGCTCAATGGCGAACATGGGAACCACCTTTCGCCTTCCCTGGGGGAGAAACCCTCTTGGCTGATGGCTTTTCCCCGGAATTATCAAATAGCCACCGGGTGACTTTCTGGCTTCCAGGTCCATCTGCCTGAGACCCCCAAACTCCTCTCCTCGCAAGCAGAGGAGAGTGAGCGGCACTAGCTCCTGGCCCCCATCCTGGCTCTACCAGGACTTGGGGCTGATGGAGATGACCGAGCCTTTGGTCTGTTCTCCAGGAGCTTCCGCAGACTTGGTTTGTGGCCTTCCTTCCACCCATCGGGAAAACCAAACAGCCTCGTGCTCTATCCCAGTCGCTCATGGGCTTGATTCAAACGAAGCCCCAACAGGCCTTTGCGTTTTTTACCCTTCATAACCTTCATCTTAATTTGAACTCGTAGCTTGGACTTTAAGGTAGCATGGCTCTATTGCTGTCAATTTAATGTTTCACTGCACAGCAATCACAGCCAGTGAATGTTACACACATCTTGCTAGACTAGTATAAAAATCATTGGGTAATTGTTGGTTCTAATGACCTGAAAGGTGTTCAGTTTTTTTGTTTTTGGCTTTGTTTTGTTTTTGTTTTCGATTTTGTGGGGCGGGGTGGGGTTTGGTTGTTGTTCTTTTTCATTTGGGGATTTTGGAGAAAAAAAAAATTTATTTTTGGTTCCAAATAGAAAAACAAAACCTATTTTGATCTTTAGTGCAAACGAGGGCTAGGGACTTAGCCTCCACCACCACACTGCTCATTCTGCCATTCACTCACTGCAGCATATTCAAGAATAAAGCAATATAGTTTACTACATTTTTTATTGAAGGTCAGCCATGCTTTCTGTATTATATTGCATACGAAATTGTTTACAAAAGAAACACTAACTCATACTTCTCTTTATCGGTTGCAAGTGGCACGCAGGGACAGAAAAGAGACTGGGGGTGGGGGAGGGGAGAATTCTTTTCTTTTCTTTTCTTTTTTCTTGAATGTGCTTCACAAGCCTGGCCATCTCCCAAGGACGGCAAAAGCAGGGGAGGCCGAGGGTAGAGGAGAGGGACAGACTGTAGGCAAGCACATTGAAGAGCGACACTGGCAGGTTTCCCCACCCTCACCCTAAAGTAGAAAGCAAGCAGAAGTCAGCTCAGTCCCTCCTGGGCATAGACACTACACAAGGAGATGCTGGAAGTTAAGCAATACTTTAATACTGTAATATGTTTGTTTTCTTTTTCTTTCTTTCTTTTTTTTTCCACCAAAAAAAAAAAAAAGTAAGTAAACTAAAACACAAAAACATATAGATACAACCCATCCCCTCTTGGGGAGCAACCTTAATCCAAACACTTGGCTATCAGATCATCAGAATGTATTGTCACAGGCAGGATTTCATTTCCGGGAGGCAGGGGCGTGAGGGGGGAGGGGCCTGGGGGCTGAGAGACAAAAGTTCCAGAGCCTCCCAGAAGGCTCTCTACTACTGTATTCTGTACATACTGTACCATCCTGTGTGGAATCCGTGCGTGTCCTCTTGAGTAGCGTGGGCTAGCCAATCTGCCGTTCATGGTGTATTGTAAATGCGGAATTCCATGTGTAATAGGATGCAAGTCTAAGCGTTTCATGTGGACATAAATGTATCTAAATAAAACTCTCCCTAGCACTGTGGCTGACCTCACCCTTACTTTTATACTTTAGTATGAAACTGATGAGAACTTTGGTAGTGAGTATTTTTTTTATATATACATATATATGTATCTATATATATATATATCTCAAGCATCTTTCAGGTCTTTGTGTGTGGCTTTCTTAAAGCCCTGTTGTAAAAAATTACTATGTGGATGGCAGTCTCTCACATCACAGATGTGGAAAGTATAATTTTATATTTGTATTTTCAAATAAATAAGTTTGTGAAAGGTTTCCATCCTCTACTGTGGTCCAGAAATCAATGTGTTTGTCTGACAAAAAAAAAATAAAATAAAATAAACTGTTTTGAACAGAGTTGTCTGGTGTTCTTTCACTTTCGGAGGAGGCTAGGGTGGGGGAGAGCTGTTGTTGTTTGGGTGTTGGAGGGGGAGGATATCAGCGAGTCCTGCCTGCTTCCCCTCACCCACCAGCAGGAATGTTGGCCCAGGAGCGTCCAGCAAAGAAGCCCCTTCCCTGTCCCCGAGGACTAGGCTAGCAGAGCAGCCTGGAGAATGGGCGGGATTAATAGTGGAAGGTGCCCAGAACCCATGGTTAGAAGGGAGTAAACCCCAAAGGGCCTGCACAATTGGAACCTTCAGACAGTGGAAGCCTGTGGAAGCCCTGAGGGGCTCTCCTGGGTGCTGGCTCTCAGGATGTGGGAGAAGGCAACCCAAATTCCATGACCCTAGAGGAAGGCTCTGAAAGGGTACCAGGAAACCTGGCCTCTGCCCTCAAGGAGTTCAAAGTTTTGCCCACTGGAAATAATTAGAATCACAAAACTAAAAGTATGGAGATAGATCATCTACAATGCTTTCCACCTTTTCTCTACTGAACAACTGAGAGAAAACAAAAGAACTGAGATGATTCGTTGAGGTCAAGTCCCAAGACCTGGTGTTGACAGGGATGGCATGATCCGAACCAGTGGGGTTACTCAGCTTCTAATCCCTGGCCAGGAGTAGGGATGAAGCGTGGGCCTGAGCGTGTCCCCATAGCTGCTTCCTGAGGACCCTGGGGAAAGTCACGGGTCTCCAGGACGTGGCCGCCTTGGGTCTCTGATCCAATTTCCTGTCCCCTGCTTATAACACCTTCATCTTGTGGGTGTTCCTGATACACTGAGGGCTTGGAGGAGAAGGTAGAAGAAGTGCCCCCTTTTATCCGAGGCTGGGGACAGGGGCACTGGGTTCCAGGCCCACCTCCTTTGTGTTCACAGGCAAAGCAACAGCACCCCACAGTGTCTGGTTACATTGTCTGAGGACAGAGGAGAAGTATAATCCCTGCTGCTCCACAGAAATGAAAGACTGATTTGAGAAATCCCCTCCATGGATTCTGAGAGGAGTGGGCCAGACATATGAAACAGGTCTTGGCCATCCTCATCCTGATTGCTCAGCTCAAAGGAGGGTGAGGCCCAAACCCAGCCCAGGAGTCTAAGGACAGAGTAGGGAACAGGATCACCAACTGTGTACCAGATGGGTCATACACATGACGTGGTTAGTCCTACATGTGCCATGTGACTACATTTTAATGCTCAGATAAGGTAGGTAATTTGCCCATGGTCAAACAACTGCTCAGTGGCAGAATGAAATCTCACGTCCAGGACATCTTACTGCCCCCCTAGTTTCAAGCCTGGTGACAAATGTCAGCATCTGTGTTCAGCGTACCTGGGAGGGTTGGGGTGGGGCCTCTAACATAAGTGCCAACCTGAACCAACAAAATGTACCAAAAAACAGGCAGAAAAATACCAATCTAGAGAAAAACAATAGAAAACAAATCAGTAAAAACTAAAAAAAGGAAAAGGAGAAGCAACAATGTAAAATAAATAATAAGTAAAGTAGGATGGAAGGAATGAGACCAAGTGAATCTACCATTATCTAAATATGAATGGACTAGATTTTTCTACAGTCACAAAATAAGAGATTCAGATGTATTTAGAAAAATCAAAACCCAGTTATGTGCTGTGTATGGAAACACACTTAAGTGATAAAGAAGGCTGAGAATAAAACGGTAGCAAAGAGAAAATAGGCAAATACAAATAAAAAATAAGGGCAAGAATCGAAATGTCAATAGTAGACAGGGTGGAATTTAAGGTTTAAAGCACTCAACAGGATATTATGTAATGGCCACAAACATAATCCTTTAAGATACAGTGGTGGTAAACACTATTGTTCAACTACCAGAGAAACTGAAGTTTTAAAATCAGAGACGATTACAAAGAGAACTTGATAAAAAATAAAAATACAATTAGAGACACCTCTCTTATAACTAGACATTTAATAGACAAAAATAAAGACATATAGAACTTGAATAATGCAATTATTAATAGTAAACCTGATCAGATGACTACATAGAGAATTTTTGAATACAGAATGTACATTTTTTTGGTGTATATCCATGGCACATACACTAAAATCAATTCAAATAAATCTTGGCAGAGAAAACCCCCATGAATTTAAATAAGTAGCATTTTTGTAGTCCATAATTCATTATCATAATCCATTAAACTGAAAACAATTTAAATGTGACTGTAAACATTATAACTGCATAGAAATTAAGAAACACAATTCTATATAACCTGGGATCAAACAGTAAAGTTAAAGAAAATTACAAACTGTCTAGAAAGCAACAAAAAGCACACACTATACCTGAACTTACAGTAATCAGCAAAAGCCATACTCAGAGGAAAATGTATAGCTTTAAATGCCTTCAAAGGGAAAATTTTTTTCTATCAAAGGAGCATATTATTCATCTTAATAAGGTAGCAAACAGTAACTAAAAAACTACTAGAAAGAGGAAATAGATAGAAACGGAAAGCAGAATAGAAAACATAAATCCAAAAGCTGGATTTTTACAAAGACTAATAGAAAAATAGACAAATCTTCCTGAATAAGGGAAGGGTAAAGAACAAAAATATGCAATATTAGAAACAAGAAAGGAGATAACAGAAAATAATTAATAATGGCACCAAATCTAAAAATTCAGAAGAACCAGAACATTTTCTAGCAAATATAAATTACCAAAACCAGTAAGAAATGGAAAATCAAAATAAACATATTATCACAAAAGATACTGAAAGGATAATTCAAGATCTAATACTGAAAAATGGGCTGGATCCAGAGGGGTTTACAAATGAGTTTTATCTAAGTATTAAATAATAATTCCAATGCTATTTAAACTATTCCAAATGATAGAAAAATATGGAAAGCTCTCCTGTTTTATAAAATACATGGCTTTGATATCAAAATCCAAGATGGTAATAACACAAAAAATATACCTATAGACTCAGATGCAAACATTCTAGATATGATTTTAGTAAATGGAATCCTACAATATATCAAGAGTGTAATAAACCATGATCAAGCAAGACTTCTTCCACTAAAGCAAGGATATTTCAATATAAGGAAATCTATCAATGTAATCTATTAGCAAACTAAAGAAGAAAAACCATACGGCTATAACAATAGATGCTGATAAAGTAGTTAAAAAATACAGCAACTATTCCTAATAAAAACTCTGTAGAAGGTTGAAACAAAAAGCAATTACATACAATATAATAAAAACTATTTACCAAACCCAGAATTAATCATTATCCTAAATGGTGAAACATAAAACCTATTTTAATTGAAATAAACAATTTGTAGAGGTTCTACTATCACTATTAATATTTAATATTGTCTTAGAGGTTCTAAAGAAAACAAAAAGTAATAAAGCAAAGCATATAAACATTGGGAGGAAAATACATTATTGTATTCCTAGAAATTTCAAGGATACTAGTAAAACAAACACATAAAAATTGCTACCAAAATTGGTATAAAACCTTGATAAGATGGCTGGATACAAGATAAACATAAGAAGACCAGTAGCCCTCCTCCTCTCTAATAATAGGCACTTAGTAATGGAAATGGGGAAAAATACTTATGGATAAATTTTATAAGAAAGGTATTTTTTTTTTTTTTTGGAGACAGAGTCTCACTCTGTTGCCTGGACTAGAGTGCCCTGGCATCAGCCTAGCTCACAGCAACCTCAAACTCCTAGGCTCAAGCGATCCTCCTGCCTCAGCCTCCCAAGTAGCTGGGACTACAGGCATGCCGCCACCATGCCCGGCTAATTTTTTCTATATATTTTTAGTTGTCCAGCTAATTTCTTTCTATTTTTTAGTAGAGACTGGGTCTTACTCTTGCTCAGGCTGGTCTCGAACTCCTGAGCTCAAACGATCCTTCCACCTCTGCCTCCCAGAGTGCTAGGATTACAGACGTGAGCCACCATGCCCGGCCAAGAAAGGTATTAATATATGCTCTTTAATAGTGGTTGATTTCTCCATCACTAGGGAAATTATTGGATTGGGTGGCCATTAAACAAGAAACCACAGACTTTAACAGGTAGCTTGAAGAAATTTGTGACGTACAGTTGAATAAGGCAAAATAGCTATATGCATATATATATTTTTTTGAAAAACAAACTGACAAATTAAGTCCTACAAATGTATAAGTGTGGAGATACATGTATGTACATCCATGGTTACGTGAGCACAGTGAAAGGGTGCACTCTAGGCTGTTTACATGTGTTTCCTGGGATGGAGGGAGTGAAAAGTAAGACTGAGGTGGAAGAGGAGAATAGGAGGAAGAGACATGCAAAAAGGGAAAAATTTTTAAAGATTTCACTGAAAATTCTGTAAGATACAATATTTATTAATATACCAAGAAATTAAGTGTGAATCTACACAAAAACAAATTTAAAAATTAAAGTATTTCTTTATTTTTTATTGTTTTTAGAGACAGAGTCTCACTTTGTTGCCCAGGCTAGAGTGAGTGCCGTGGTATCAGCCTAGCTCACAGCAACCTCAATCTCCTGGGCTCAAGTGATCCTCCTGCCTCAGCCTCCGGAGTAGCTGGGACCACAGACATGTGCCACCATGCCCGGCTAATTTTTTGTATGTATATTTTTAGTTGGTCAATTAATTTCTTTCTATTTTTAGTAGAGACAGGGTCTCACTCAGGCTGGTTTTGAACTCCTGACCTTGAGCAATCCCCCTGCCTTGGCCTCCCAGAGTGCTAGGATTTACAGGTGTGAGCCACCACACCCGGCCTAAAGCATTTCTTTAAAAGAGCTAGAAGGATCTACCTTCCAGTAAATGGTAATTACATTATTGACTGGTAAAATGGGGAATTGAATTAAGGTAAGTGGTTAAAGAGGATTCTGGCTTTATCTGCAATTTTTAACTCTCCAAAAGAACCACAGATTTATATATTTAATTGAAATACACATAATTTTAAAATTAGCTGTGTAAAAAAAAGGAATACAAGAGAAGTCTATGGGA